TGCTCAAGGACATCCCAGTGCCCGAGGGCCAGTCTTGCGAGGTGGACGCCGCTTGTGCGGACGAGGCCGGCTTCCTCAGCGAGCCCGTCTCCAGCTCTGGACGCCCGAAATGGGTACGGAAAGAATGGGTACGATGCCCAACAGCAGTTCCTGTTCATTTTGAACAGGACTCGCTGTCCGCGCCGCCGCGGCCTGTGTTCATTTGAGACAGAAGGCCGCCTGCCCAACAGCGGCCGCTGTTGGTTCGGGACAACATTTGTTGTTGGGCATGTTGCCCATTCTTTCGGTACCCATTTCGGGTGTCCAAACCAGCGGGTCGTGGCGTCGTGCGTCTGGGGTGCGCGTGAGCCTGGGCCCGGAAGGGCCAGATGGAGAACCGAGGCTACGAGTTTCAGAGGGCCGCATCGACGCCCGCATCGACTCGGAGGACGCCGTCCTGAGGGAGATCGAGGCCCGGAGCAGGAAGTGGCTCCAGGAGCTCCAGCGGCCGCCTGGCACCCCGCAGGGCCCGGCCCTGGCGGCCGCCGCGTAGCGGCGTACCGCGCCCATGCCGCCCGCCAGCGGCCTGCGAGACGGGTTCCTCCGCCACTTTTGGCAAGGGTGTCCTGTAGTGTCACGCGTGTGCCCTTCGCTGCAGAGCACTAGGTGGGGGGCGAGGGCGTCGGGTCTGTTGCTGGATGGCAGTTCTGTCCCAGACACTCCTTGGCGCTGGCCCCTCATTCCTCCCTGTCGGAAAAAACAGTACCGAGTGCCCGCGGGCCTCACGAACATGACTCCAGACTTTGCCCCACAGTGTACTGTGTTTTGGTGTTTCCCATATCCTAAGATGGGGTTCTTGTTATTTCTTGGACGCCGCCGACTTCTCCTCCTTCTCCTTCTCCTCCCCTCTCCTCCTCATACCCAGACTTACTCATACACAGACTCACTCACACTCATACTTACTCATACCCAGACTTACTCACACACAGAATTACTCATACTCAGACCTACTCCTACTCAGACCTACTCCTACTCAGACTTACTCATGCTGAGACTCACGCACGCCCCGTTCGCGGCCGTTTTTGTGGGGATGCCTCAAGCGGTTTGCCTGTGTTCTGTCCCAACATCCTTCGCTTTCGGAGCAGATTTGGAGGATGTCTCGAGCGAGGCGCTCATTTTCACCCCCCTGAGGGGAGCCGCCAGGGGTTATCTCACGGTCCCGTTCGCGGCTGTTTTGTGGGGATGTCTCAAGCGGTGTGCTTGTTTTCTGTCCAACATCCTTCGCTTTCGAAGCAGATTTGGAGGATGTCTCGAGCGAGGCGCTCATTTTCACCCCCCTAAGGGGAGCCGCCGAGGGTTATCTCCGGTCCTGTTCGCGGCCGTTTTGCGGCGATGTTTCAAGCGGTTTGCCTGTTTTCTGTCCCAACATCCTTCGCTTTCGGAGCAGATTTGGAGGATGTCTCGAGCGAGGCGCTCATTTTCACCCCCCTGAGGGGAGCCACCAGGGGTTATCTCACGGTCCCGTTCGCGGCCATTTTGTGGAGATATCTCAAGCGGTTTGCTTGTTTTCTGTCCCAACATCCTTCGCTTTCAGAACAGATTTGGAGGATGTCTCGAGCGAGGCGCTCATTTTCACCCCCCTAAGGGGAGCCGCCAGGGGTTATCTCACGGTCCCGTTCGCGGCCTTTTTGCGCGGATGTCTCAAGCGGTTTGTTTGTTTTTTGTCTTAGCATTTTTCCTTTTCGGAGCAGATTTGGAGGACGTCTCGAGCGAGGCGCTCATTTTCACCCCCCTAAGGGGAGCCGCCAGGGGTTTTCACGGTCCCGTTCGCGGCCGTTTTGCGGCGATGTCTCAAGCGGTTTGCTTTTTTTTTTTTGTCCTAACAACATTCGCTTTCGGAGCAGATTTGAAGGATGTCTCGAGCGAGGCGCTCATTTTGACTCCTCGGATGGCCCAGATTTTGAAGATGTCTCGATCGGTGGCCAGACTCGTGGGCACATATTCTCCTCAGGATGCCACAGGAGGCTCCAACAGGCTCCAGGAGGTCCCAGGAGACCACATGAGGTCCCAGGAGGCATCAGGAGGCCACAGAAAGACGCAAGAGGCCACAGGATGTCCCAAGAGGCTCTAGGAGGCCCCAGGAAGCTCCGGGAGGCTTCAGGAAGCCACAGGAGGCCCCAGGATGCCAGAGGAAGCGCCAGGAGGTCTCGGAAGGCAACAGGAGGCCCCGAGAGGTCCCAGGAGCAGGAGGCCTCAGAAGGCAACAGGAGTGGCTCCAATCCCATGTGTTTTTCGTATGCTCCTACAGATTGGGCCTCACCTGGAGCACGAATCCTTGATGTTATACGTATGTTTCTATAGATTGTTCTTCTCCTGTGTAACTATGTTCCTATAGGGCCTCTCCTGGGGCACGAGTCCTTGATGTTCCACGTGTGTTCCTATAGATTGCCCCCTTCTCCTGTGGCCAATCCGCAATGTTTTATGTACGTCCGTTGCTATAGATTGGGCCTCTCCTGGGGAACGAATCCTCCCGAGGAGGTCCCAGGAGGCCCCAAGAGGCTCATGGAGGCCCCAGGAAGCCCTAGTAGGTTTCAGGAGGCCCCAGGAGGCCAGGAGGACCCAGGCTCATGCGCAGAGACGCGCTCGTACTATTGAGGCTCATTCACACTCCAATTCGTTCTCAGTTCGATTCATGACCAGACCGTCACAACTGAAGCCCCTTTATATTAGAAAGCTTTTGCGCCTTGAAATTCACGGCGGACAGGTCCATGCGAATAGATGCACATATGGGGAGCTCCACGCAGTGAATAATTGACAGGGATGGTTGGGGGGGGGCCGCATCGGGTTGGCTGCGCATGCTCCGAATTTGGAGGCAGAGTGTGTGTTTGTATTGTTTGTTGACATGGATGGTAGGCGGGGGGCCTCATGGTGTGCGCATGGTTCCGGGTTGGCTGCCGGCCGGGTGGGGGAGGGGGTGTTTCTATTAATAGGGAACAGTGATAAAATGTTCCCCTAAGAGGTGAAGGGGGTTGTAATAGGAAACGTTCAAAGCCACCCGCGCCCTAAATGGATGGCGGAATTCACCCCTCTGGGTCAGCCCCCCTTTATATCAAGGAAGCGCAAACATGGAGCACGGCGCGTGGATTAGCAACGGTTCTGGCTTCTGCATTGCAGAATGGGCGCGCACCCTAATTAACGAGATCAGGCGGCATTGGCCCCGTGATTCGGGAAGGGCTTTTTCCCCGATCCGTGGATCAGGCACCCACGCGCCAGATCCGCAGTACTGCTGTCGAGGCTCCATCGCCGATGTACCGGCGATGCACCACTGATTCCAGGTCAGTCTTCTTCCCCCTTTGCCAGCCCCCCTACCCATCGCTCGTGGAAAGCACGTGTACGGTCGTATACGTATGTATAGTTGGGCTCCCAGGTTCCAATGCACTCGAGGCGATTGCCGATTTCAAGAGTCGATTGATTCACCTGTGCCTTCACACTTTTCGAGGGACGGGCGGAAACCCAATCTACTCTCACCGCCGTCCTGCTTCATGCTGTCACCCACTTCTTCCGAACGATGCGTACGGCGGTCACGAACTTCCTGCTCGGCGTGTCGCACCGCCAGCTCTGGCCCGCCGCCGGAAGCTTCCGCTCGCTTGAGATTGAATACATATCGGCGAACAGCGCTCAATAGCGCAAAGCGCCCTATGGCGCCCAGCAGCGCCGAACAACGCTCATTCCGCGCCCAATAGCGACCAATCGTGTTCAACAGCGCCCAAAAGCGCCGTGAGGGAGATGAATCATGTCCCTTTTGCGCGGGATTGAGCGCCCTATTGAGCGCCATGGAGACCAACAAGAGCTTCGGTAAATCGATGTGTTATGCAGTCAAGACGCTGAAATGAGGGCCGTTGTGAGTTCGGAGGGGGTTCACAGTTCCTTCGGTCATTATGTGGTTGTTCCGCTAGCCCTCCTCGTGCACCCAGGCGCTGTTGGCGCCCAACATGTGTTTCGTTCCTTACTTAGCGTTCCTCATGGCAGCAGCTTGACTGCAGTAGAGCACGTAAGGTTCCGCTCGCCTTGGATTAAACGCAGAGCGCCCCACAGCGTTGAGGTGGCGCCCAGGTAGCGCTCAAACAGCGCCCAAAACAGCGCCCAGCAGTGACCAATTGCGCCCAGTAGTGCAATGTGCGGGAGATGCAGCATGTCCGCTTTGCGCGCGATTGGGCGCGCTGTTGGGCGCCATGTCGGTCGCGAGCTGCTCGCCCGACCCACAGCATCTCGACGAAGCCCAAATCATGGTTTGAGTCTCGTGGTTTAGCGGAGGGCCCCGCTTCCGTGATCGTTTTTGTTGTTCGTTGTTTTGCCGATCGGCGCGGGCCCTCGCAACCCCTTCCCCCCCTCCATGGAGTGGATCCTGGTTGTCTTGGGGGCGCCTGTTTCAAGCAGCTGGAGTCTCCTCCGTAGGACGCGCTGTTGCAAACGGTCGCATTCCGCAGAGCTCCGGAGCCAGACCCTTCCCCCCTCCCCCGAGCAGTTTCTTTGGGTGGAGGGCAAAGGGTGAAATCTGGAATGCCGTTTCGATGGATGTTCGAGGCTCGAATATGCCGAAGGAGAACCCCGAGACGGCTTGACTTTCGAGGTGCAAGAAGCCCATCTGGATTTCACCCTGAGCCCTCCACCCTAACAAAATATGGCGCTCCCGCCCTTCGCCCCATGTCGAGGCGCACCGGATAAAAGAAAACGCTCCCTCCCTCCCTCCCTCGCCTCTCTCGCCCGACCGCGACCAGCGGCGCCCACCAGCAGCCCTTGCGTCGCGGGCGGGGCTCCGCGAGGGCTCCGCGAAGGCGCCGCCGCCCTGCGGGGCCACGCAACGTGTGAGGGGTGCGCCACAACGGGCCGGGAGACCGCATGCGGTACCCACTTCTCGGGGCCCTTCTTTGGCACTGCCTGTGGGGCCACGAAATGTGCGAGAGGTGTGCCGGAACGCATGGGGGACCGCATTCGCCCCCCCCCCCCGTGCGCCCGCGCAGGGCTGCTGCTGGAGAGCGCGGGCTTCGGCCCAGGGCGCACCGCGGCCGCAGGCCGACCCCCCCCCCCCGCTAGGGCGAAGGAAGGAGGAGGAGGAGGGCGAGGAGGGGGAGGAGGAGGGCGAGGAGGAGGAGGAGGGAGGAGGAGGGGGAGGAGGAGGAGGGCGAGGAGGAGGAGGAGGAGGAGGAGGAGGAGGAAGGCGAGGAGGAGGAGGAGGAGGAGAAGGAGGAGCAGGAGGAGGAGGATCGTGGATCCAGTTTTCGAGACGTCGTTCGCCCCTCACCTCACTCGCCTGCTCAACACTGTGCCCATGGCGTGTAAGGCCCCTCGGTACTTTGCGTCGACTTGCTCTCGACTACGCTGCCCGCATTTCTGTCCAGATTCCCCCGTTCACAGTGGTCGAAGCTGACATCGAAATGATGTTGCCCGCGCTCAGAGGATCACACGTGCCGCAAGATATACGACATCAATTGGAGACTAATTCGGCTGGGGTCACAGGTGCAGACTAGCGTGGAATACGTTCTCTGTGCTTCGTCGATTGGCATCCGAGCTTGTGTGCCCTCCGCCACTTACGCACAAAACTGAGTAGATGGCCCCGATCCAAACATCATCATCAGCAGCAGCAGCATCATCATCAGCATCATCATGATCATCAGCATCAACATCATCAGCATCATCATCAGCATCATCATCAGCAGCAGCAGCATCATCATCACCATCTTCACCCCCCCGTGTCCCTCTCCTCCCCTTCCCTCTCTCCTTCCCACCCTCCTTCCGCACGCCCTCCATCCCTCCCCTCCCCTCTCCCCTTCCCTCTCTCCTTCCCACCCTCCGTCCGCACGCCCTCCATCCCTCGCTCCCCCCCCTCCATCATCCCTCGCCCTCCTCCCCCGTGTACCCCTCGGAGCGCGCAAGGCATGAGCCACGCGGACGCCAGGCGGACCGCCGCCTCGCTGCTTGCGCCCGGCGCTGCCGTGTGCACGCGCTTCTGCGTCGCGCTCGTGGCGGGGAGCCAGCACCGGAGGACGACGAGGATAGGCAGGTGAGGGAGGAAAATAAAGAGTGATGAAGGAAAGGAGGAGGAGGAGGAGGAGGAGGAGGAGGAGGAGGAGGAGGAGGAGGAGTAGGTGGAGGAGGAAGAGGAGGAGGTGGAGGAGGAGGAGGAGAAGAGGGAGGCAGGGCAGGAGAGGGGGACAGGAAGGAGGGGGAGCCAGAATGAGGAGTCGGAGAGCAAGCCAATCAAGGTGAAGATGAGAATGTGCCCAATGGTGCTCGGCCCGCCACGCGGATGAAAGGCCATGGTCGTGGAAGAGAGGCCTCTTGGAGGCTTGTTCGGGCATCGGCATCGTGTAAGCTATCTTGGGGTCCGCTTGGAGGCTTCTTGGGAGGCTCCTGGGCCTCTTGAATGACTCTTGGCAACGTCTTGGGGCATCCCGTGGGCGTGTAACGCCCAGAAGCGCCGAGAATCCTAGAAATCTGGGTCTCGGGCGTCCGACGTCGTCATCGTCGTCGTCGTGTTCGTTCTCAGCGTCGTCGTCGTCGTTGTCATCGTCGTCGGCAGCGTCATCATTTGCCAGCGGGCGACGAGGGGGACTGTAACGCCCCCCCTCCGAATTCTCGAGAGGGGGGGAGGGATAGAGGAGGGGAGGGTGATTCCAGAGGAGGGGGGGAGGAGTTTCGAGGGGAGGGGAGGGGTCCTGGTTCCGGCGAGGGGCAACTTGGCCTTCGCGGCGCAAGGCGCCCCTGAACGACTGTGTCTCCGAGGTCCCGCTTGGATTTGCGCAGGACGTCATTCTTGGTTTCCCTTTGAAAAAAAGAAAACTAAAAACGGCATAAGCATAAACTTTCAGCGCTCCGCGCGGAGTTCTTGGATCGGCGCTGGGCCCCTTGGCGGCGCCTCTGGCGCCGCCCCTGGCGCGCTCCGCGCGCCAGGGAGGTCCAGCGCAGATCCAAGAGATCGGCGCAGAGCGCCAAAAGTTTGTGCTTGTGCCGTTGTTTCTCCTTCCATTCCCAGGAGCTCCCGACGGTGGCGACATGCGCGCGGTTGGCAGCACCTGGGGGAGACGAGGTAGGGGGCGGGCAGGAGGAGGGCGAGGAGGCGGGAAAAGGAAGAGGAAGAGGAGGAGGAGGAGGAGGAGGAACGGACAACGGAGGAGGAAGAAGTTCGTGGGTTCCAGCTGCGAGACGTCGTTTTCCCTCTTGGGCCCTCGGGGGGCAAGATGGGGAGGAGGAGGAGGAGGAAAAAAATCAGCAGCGCTCTTTCTCACGACGAGTGCCCAGCTCCAAGGGAGGCCGGGCAGAAGAGGAGGAGGCGCCGAGAGGGGAGGGAGAGAGAGATCAGGAGGAGCCAAAAACAGACGGACACAGTCAGTCGTCGACCCCGAGGGAAATGTGGGCGAGTATGTGGAGTGCAGGGGAAGGCGAACATCAAGCGAATGTTTGAGAATATAGGGAATACTGGGATCTGTGTCCAACTCTTGGTGTGTCCCTGGGCCCCCCGAAGATGAGGAGGGGGGGGGTGGGCGCGGGAGCGGCGGGAGCGGGAGCGAACGGGGAGCAGCAGCCTCTCTCCCCGCGCACCTTTGCACGCCTCGTGCTGCAGCAGATCGGCCTCCACCCCCATCTACGACCGGGTCGGCGGAAATGTTGGTCAGGTTCGAATCGGCGGCGAGCGAGGGGGGGATGTGAGAAGGAGAAGGCCTTCCTCTGAAGGCGGCGGGACCTCTCAGAAGCCCTCCCGCCTTCTGCGAGGTTTTTTTTTCTGCGTCTTCGGGAAGGGTGCGGGAAACATCTCTCCGAAGGCCAGGGGACTGCCGAGCCTTCTGAGAGAAGGCCCACCCCTTCGCACTTACCCCTCGGCGCGCTGCCCAGACCCGGCTTGCGGCGATGGTGGCCAGTCGGGAGCCTTGAGACGGGGGTCAGTGCAAACGGGGGTCAGCCAGAGCGCCGGAGCCTGCAGGACCCTGCGAAGACCCCCTTCGGCTGACCCGGGTTAGCGAGCCGCCCGTGGCCGCGAGGCGGCCGCGCCTATTGGCTGACCCGGGTTCGCGAAGATCAGCGTTGCGGTTTTTTCCCCTGCATTGCAGTTTTTGGTTTCCTGCTGACCCGGGTCTGGATTGACCCGGGTCAGAAGATCCCCGAGCCAGGTGCGGAGTTCGGCGACTGCAAAGGGTGTGGTTACGCCGGGGTGTGGTTTGCGATCGGCGCCTGTGGGGCCTGGGGGGCACGACACTGTCCTCCTCGGGCCTCTTCGGGGTGCGGCGGAGAGCTCCGTCGAGGTCCCCGCCCGCCCCCCAGGGTGCCCCCCAGGGTGCTGATTGCAAACCGCACCCCTTGCAAACCACACCCTTCGGAGTCGCCGAGGAGTAGGCATCATATCTCGGAGTTTCGCGCGGAGCTCTCGGATCGGCGGTGGGCCCCCTTTGGCCGCGCCGCCCCTGACGCGCTCCGGGGGCCCTCCTCCTCATCGTCGTCGTCCTCGTCATCCTCCTCCCCCCCTCTTTCTCCCACCTCCTCCTCCTCCTCCTCCTCCTCATCCTCATCATCATCATCCGCCTCCTCCTCCTCCTCCTCCCCATCCGCCTCCTCCTCCTCCTCCTCCTCCTCCTCCTCCTCCTCCTCCCTCCTCCTCCTCCTCCTCCGGGGGCGTTTCGCCTGAGGTTTCCTCACCACGTGTGACCCTGAAGCTAAAAAAGCGACAGCAGTTTCACAGATGGGGGGCGGGTCGTCTTCAAGATGTAGCTCTCCCCTCAGCGTTGCGCACATTTGTCTTTAAATGTTGCAGGAGTTTCACGGATTGAGGGCGGCTCATTTTCAAAATGTGGCTCTCGCTTTAGGCCGCGCATATTCATTTTAAACATTTGCAAAAGTTCCACGGATTGAGGGCGGGTCGTTTGCAAAATGTGGCTCTCGCAGTAGCGCCGCGCACATTCGTTCTAACAATTTGCAAGGATTTCATGATTGACGGCGGGCCGTTTTCAAAATGTGGCTCTCGCCTTTGCGCCGCACACATTCGTCTTAACAAGTTGCAAGTGTTTCATGGATTGGGAGCGTCTCTTTTTCCAAATGTGGCTCTCGCCCTAGCGCCGCGCACATTCGTTTTAACAATTTACAAGAGCTTCACGGATTGAGGACGGTTCCTTTTCAAAATGTGGTTCTTGTTTGAGCGCCGCGCACATTCTTTTTCAACATTGTGCAAGAGCTTCACGGATTAAGGGCGGGTCGTTTGCAAAATGTGGTTCTCGCCTCTGCGCCGCGCACATTTGTTGTAAAATGTTGCAAGAGCTTCACGGATTGAGGGCGGCTTGTGTTCAAAATGCGGTTTTCGCCGTAGCGCCGCGCATTCTCGTCTCAACATTTTGCAAGATCTTCACGGATTGAGGGCGGTTCCTTTCCAACATGTGGTTCTCGCCTGTGCGCCGCACACACTCGTCTTAGCAATTTGCAAGTGCTTCACAGATTGAGGGCGGCTCATTTTCAAAATCTGGCTCTCGTTTGAGCGCCGCGCACATTCGTTTTAACAATCAACAAGAGTTCAACGGATTGAAGGCGGGTCGTTTGCAAAATGTGGCTCTCGCAGTAGCGCCGCGCACATTCGATTTACTGATTTACAAGAACTTCACGGATTGACGGCGGGCCGTTTTCAAAATGTGGTTCTCGCCTTTGTGCCGCACACATTCGTCTTAACAAGTTGCAAGTGTTTCATGGATTGGGAGCGTCTCTTTTTCCAAATATGGCTCTCGCCCTAGCGCCGCGCACATTCGTTTTAACAGTTTACAAGAGCTTCACGGATTGAGGACGGCTCTTTTTCAAAATGTGGTTCTTGTTTGAACGCCGCGCACATTTTTTTTCAACATTGTGCAAGAGCTTCACGGATTAAGGGCGGGTCGTTTGCAAAATGTGGTTCTCGCCTCTGCGCCGCGCACATTTGTTGTAAAATGTTGCAAGAGCTTCACGGATTGAGGGCGGTTCGTGTTCAAAATGTGGCTCTCGCCGTAGCGCCGCGCACACTCGTCTTAACAATTTGCAAGAGCGTCACGGATTGAGGACGGTTCCTTTCCAACATGTGGTTCTCGTGTTAGCGCCGCGCACACTCGCCTTTGCCCTGTGTAAGAGCTCCACGGATTGAGGCTGCTCATTTTCAAAATGTGGCTCTCGTTTTAGCGCCGCGCATATTCGTTTTAACAAATTGCAAGGGTTCCACGGATCGGGGGCGGCCCATTTTCAAAATGTGGCTCTCGTTTTAGCGCCGCGCACATTCGTTTCAAACAGTTGCAAGGGTTCCACGGATTGCGGGCGGGTCGTTTGCAAAATGTGGCTCTCGCCTCAGCGCCGCGCACATTCGTTCTAACAAATTGCCAGTGTTTCATGGATTGAGGGCGGTTTTTTTTTTCAACATGTGGCTCTCGCCCTAGCGCCGCGCACATTCGTTCTAACAATTTACAATAGTTTCACGGATTGAAGGCGGGTCGTTTGCAAAATGTGGCCCTCGCTTCAGCGCCGCGCACGTTCGTTTTGAAATGTCCAAGAGGTTCACGGATTGGGGGCGGCTCTTTTTCAACATGCGGATCTCGCTTCAGCGCCGCGCACACTCGTCTTCACAATTCGCAAGAGCTTCACGGATTGAGGGCGGTTTTGTTTCAAAACGTTTTTTTTGAAATTTGTAAGAGAGTCAAGGATTGGTCTCATGAGCAGCGCATCAGAAATGAGGTTTTGGAATGATTCAGGATTATATTGGCGCAACAGTTATGTTGATTCGGTGTTTCGAAGTCACAAATATACATTGATGGCGCGGTTGTGGATCGTCAAAACGCAGCAGTCAGGTTGATACGTGGCGATGACATCCAGAGAACAATGTTTTGGCACGCTTCAGGATCTTGACACGGTTGTCTTCCAACGAGGCAGTCCCTCAATGGAATGGAACCGCTGCAGGGTCCCATGGAAAAAAGGAGCTTAGAGGGAGGGTTCATTCCAACATCGCTGATGGCTCTTAGGTTTCCACTGGTCCTCCTCCTCCTCTTCCTCCTCCTCTTCCTCCTCCTCCATTCCTTTTCCTTATAGATAGTTTTTCCCTGTCACACCCCGAAGTCAGTTTTTATTGCAGGCCGGGCGTTTCGCCTGAGACACTATCGCCATTTATGATTCTGAAGCTTAAATTGACAACAGACTCACAGATAGAAGCCGGGTCGCGTTCAAAATGTGGGTCCCGCGCGCGTTCGTTCTAAAAACTTGCAAGGGCTTCACGCATTGAGGGCTGGTGGTTTTCAAAATGTAGCTCGTCTCTGCGCCGCGCACATTCGTTTCAAGGCAAGAGTTTCATGCATTGAGGGCGGGTGGTTTTCAAAGTGTGGCTCTCGTTTTAGCGCCGCACACACTCTTTGTGGAAAATGCAAGAGCTTCACGGATGGAAGGCGGGCCGTTGCTATCGGCTTAGCGCCGCGCACATTTGTTTTAAACATTGCAAGCGCTTCACGGATGGAGGGCGGGTCGTTTTCAAAATGAGGTTCTCGCGTTAGCGCCGCGCACGTCCTTTTTTTCATGTTGCAAGAGTTTACGGATTGAGGGCGGTTCTTTTTTCAAAATGTGGTTTTCGCTTTAGCGCCGCGCACATTCGTTTTTAAACGTTGCAAGAGATCGCCAGATTCCCATGATCAACGCACCAGAAACTGCGTGTTGGAAGGATTCAGGACGATGCAGGCGCAGCAGTTATGTTGATTCGCTGTGTTGAAGTCTCAAGCAGCGGCGTTCTGGCACGATTGTGGATTGTCAAGACGCAGCAGTCAGGTTGATACGTGGCGTTGACATCCAGAGAACAATGTTTTGGCACGCTTCAGGACCTTCCAACTGTTGACTTCCAACGAGGCAGTCCCTCAATGGGAATGAACCGTTGTAGGGGCCTACGTGGGAGCTTTGAGGGAGGGTTAATTCCAACATCGTTGATGACTCTTGGGTTTCCAGTGGTCCTCCTCCTCCTCCTCCTCTTCCTCCTCCTCCTGGGTTCGGCGCAGATGTGCCCGTGTCGGTCGAGGCTCCGGGAGGCAGCCTTGTCCGCTGCTCGGCGATCTCTCGTCGCCTGGCGCGTGGTGCGAGCGGCGCGCGCGTGAGCTGAGAGATCCCGCATCGAGCTTGCATGCGTTGTGTCAAGTTAGGCATGTCCTTCTACAGGGGGGCTATTCCAAAATTGTCAAAAAAAATAGTCTGGGGACAATTTTTTATTACTTTTGACCATTTAGGGGGTATGTTTAAACTATTTCTTTCTTTCGCTCCAGATCCGCCTGGAGGAGGGCATGCCCGACCTAAGCCTCGTGTTGCGCTGTCTCCTGTGCCTCGCCCCTTCCTCTTTTTCGCGACCGCGTGGGTCAGAGGGGGGGGGGGTGGGGGGCGTTTGTCAGCCAATGAACGTGGTATCGTTCGGACATATGCAGTTGTTCTCGACCAGGACCATCGAGGAGCAGTTCGGGTCATCTTGCGAGAAAATACACGCACGAAGCCGGAAAATGCACACGGGGAATGGACGTCCGAGCGATGGCGAGTGGAGCGTTGGGAGGGGAGACGCGCCATTCGCTGGAGGCCTGGGTGCTTTTTGGGAACGGCACTCGTGTTCAGACTCCCACAGGCTGGGCTGGCTGGCAGGCTACGTCTGTGCAAAGCTCCCGCGGAGGGCGACAGTAGGCAGGCAGCTGCTCGGGCAATGTCAGGGGCGAAGATGTATCGATGTGGAGCGTTGCAGATCGCCCACAAGGCTTTCTGGAACGCTCTGGACCGGCCACGGCGCCCGAGAGTTCCCCACGCCCATCGGTTCTCAGAGGTTCCTGGCTTATCGCAAATCGGGCTGATCTTTTTTACAGCGAGCATGTGCTTGTGCTATGAAAACATGTGTAAATATTGGTTGACGAGTTTGTATGATTCCTCCTAACTCCGCCTGTGGGAGGACATGTACGACCTAAGGCTTATCTCGCTGCGATGTCGGCTCTTCCTGCCCTCGTCGTGAGTGCCGTGCGATATTTTGAGGAGCGGTCCAGTTGCGCCAAGCGCTCCTCCCCATCTTCCAGTCGAGGCTCCGACGAGCAACTTCAGCGAAAGTGCACGACCTACCGCAGGCCCCTGGTCGGGGGATCACGCCGAATCGCCGATGCATCGGCGATGCGGCTCGATGTGGAGACTGATCTTCTCTACGCTGCTGGCGCCGGTGCATCGCCGACATCGCCAATGCATCGCCGACGCATCGCCGATTCATCTATGATGCGGCGCGATCCTCCAACACGATCTATTCGGACCCCGTCTAGGAGGCCTCGGGCCATCCTCTCATCAGCGTCGTCATCATCGTCAGCGTCCGCGTCACCATCCTGCTAATCACCGTCGTCAGTCTGCTCATCAGCCCATCAGCATCTCGTCATCGTCATCATCCTGCTCGGATCGTACCCTCCAATCGCTGGAAGTAGGTATTCTTGGATTCCCGCATCCAAACCTGCTTGAAGCGCCTTCCTGCTTCACGAACCGATATGCTTCTTTTGCTGTGTTTTGTGATTCTCTGGGCGAGCCCGAACCCAATCTACCTTATCCCTTATCCGCCTTCCTACGTCATATTTCTACAAATTTCTTTCGACGGGCGGGTCCAGTCGGCCCTGACTAGCGGGTCGACCCTGCCAAATCAAGGGTACCCGTGCGCCATGTGTCTCGCAACCTATGCCTCCTACATTCCTGTGGCAAGCTGGCCCTCGGCAGGGTCTTGTGCCCTCTCGCGTGTCCTGTCCAATCAAGCCCGACTCTATCGTCACCCTGCCAGGGCCGCCTACGATCCGATTCGATGCGATTCGATTCGCCGGCTGGGGCCGCGATTCCGATCCGACTCCATTCAGTTCGATCCACGGGCATCGGCTGGGGCCCGCCGGAGGCTGGCGCGGCGCTCCGCCTCCGATCCGATCCGGGGCGACTCGTGGGCGATCCGATCCGCCTCCGACACGATCCGATGTCGCGAGTCGCTCCAGCGCGGCCGTCGTCGCCCCTGGGCCTCGGGCCAGCCGCCGCGCCGGAGGCAGCAAGCCGCGTACGGCGCCGCCGTCGGGCGTTTCGCCGGGTGCGCCGGCCGCTCCTCGCCGGCCGGCCGCGACGCGCGAGGGGAGCGAAGTCGGGGGCGGCAAAGAGGGGGGTGATGACTAGGGGGGGGTGGATATCATGGCGGGGGCCATGATATTTCCCCTGATTTCGTGGCGCCTCTTCTTATTTCCTTACGTCCCTGGCCCCCCCGCTGGCCCGCCCACATGCCGCCGGTCATGATTTGCACCCCCCCTCTTGGACCCCCCCCTTTGGACCGCTCCCGACGAAGGGTGCACCGGGGATCGGACACGCGCAGAGCTTGGCATCGCTCGGGCTCCTGCATGCTTGCTCGGCGAGGACCATCGAAGAGCCTTTGGGGGTCATCTTGCGAGACAGTGCGCGCACGAAGCCCCCCCCAAAAAATGCGCGAGAAATGGACGTCCGAGCGGCGGCAAGGATCAAGCAGTGGCGAAGCGTCTTGGCTCGCTTATAGGCCTACCAAACGATGTTCTAAGAGCCTTTTGCGGTTTCCACGAAATGTTCTTAAAACGCTTCTGGCTGCTGTCTTGTTTTAACAAATCGGGTTTGCGTTTTAAGAGCATCGCTGTCGTTCTTAGAACAGTTCTGGGTTCTAAGACAACTTCGTGGTATGTATATAGGAATGCCAGGCCGGTCGGTCCCTGCTCAAAAGGGGGTGGTTGGGGGGAGGGGAAAAAGACGTTTTGCAAGCACCCTTGCTTCTTAGAAGGCGCGGACCTTGCCTATAGACGTAGGGCCAGCGCCTTCTAAGAAGCAGGCTTCTTCTGAGAAGTATTCTCCCCTCCCCCTATCCCCCGCGTGCGCCCCCCCAAGAGGAAAGAAGGAGGAAGAGGAGGACATGGAGGCACTCCGTAGCCAGTAGCCATGGTAGTTGAAGCGGCACTGCCCAGCTTTTGTCACGGAAGTGGTGTGTCGATGCCTCGCACAGGTCTGTTGAACGCCACGGCCACGTGGTGGCCCACGCGCGCACTGTCGAGGAAGCCTCCCAGTTCATGACGAAGCTGACCAGCCAGGCGGCAAAATACGCGGAGCATCTTCCCAATGTCCAAACGGTGCCCACCCAGGGCTTCGGCAGCATTGCGCAGCAGATTCTCGTCGCGTCGGTAGAGGCGACGGCTATGTCCGGGGAGGACACGGTTGCCAAGGACTTCAAGCAGCACCATTTCCAAGGACGCCGCCTACCAACGCATCTCGAACGCGACGCTCGCGCGTTGGATGGGGCAGGGGTGTTCCTTCGACACACGGGTTCGCCGCTTGAAATTCTCGGCCGTTTCGCCGCTTGGCCCCAAGGAGGTGCCACAACAATGTAGAAGAACGCCCCCGCGGAGATTTTCGACTCCGGGGCGGACGACACTCAGAGCGCGCATTACCTACCCCGCGTTCGCTTCCAGGGAAAACCAAGTTATACCACGCGACTCCCCGTCGAGCGGCCTGACCAGTGCGGGCCGTAGTTTGGCATCGTTTGGTTGCTCTTGGAAGCCACGGTGGTCAAAAGCGAGGTAGGTTCGTTTGCCCGTTAAACGATCCGGACCAGGCCGCGGCCGAGGCGCCCCGGGGCGAGACTCCGGCCAACGGACGCCCCACCGAGAAAGTTGCCACACAGCCGCGGGCGGCCGCGCGGACGCCTCCACGACGCTTCGCTGCGCGAAGGACGCGCGCGGCGGGCGCGCCCAGGCCCGCGGCTCATCGAGGAGACCTCGTAGCCGACGGCGGGCGTGAGAGAAAGAAGGTCGCGGTCGCGGACGGGAGGGTTTCTCCGAAGGGTTTAGGCGACCCGCCATCCTTCTCCTCCTCCTCCTTTTCCTCCTCCTCCTCCTCCTCCTCCTCCTCCTCCTCCTCTTCCTCCTCCTCCTCCTGCCCCCTCCTCCTCCTCCTCCTCAACCTCCTCCTCCTCCTATCCTCCTCCTCCTCCCCGTCCTCTGGTCGCCTACGGCCCTGGAGGGGAAACGTGCAAATGAAGGTCGCAGTCGCGGACACCATCGTCGGGCACATTCGCGACATAGACGGCATCATCGGAATTGTCACTAGGCTCGAGCATTGCCAGCAGGACACCAATGCAAACGTCGAGTGAGAAAAGGCGAATATCGACGGCCTTTGCGACACCGATTCGCCTATGAAGGATATGGACCAGGGCGTCAGCCAGGCGATGAAAAATTTGAGGTTTTGAGAGCGTGGGCGAGCATTCGCACTGGCCGTTCGATGGCAGCATCAAGCCTCAGCCCATGACACAGACGCACCCGCCGATAAAACATGTGTCCTGCGCGACGCTCAAGTCGGCATGAGCGTGCTGAGTAAGCTGAGAAACCACCAGCCAGAGCGAATTCAGCGCGCTGAGTTCGATCCACAGCGTGGACATGTGAGTACCACGCGAGTTCCGCACATTTCCACATTGGTCCTGTTTTGTCTGCTTCCGCTCCCCCATCTCAGATTCCAGCTCTTACAACTCTAATTATCCTCCTGCCCCCTTCCTTCACCACCTCTCGCGCTGTGGCGCTGGTCAAGCCCAAGGGGTTCTGGGGGGTCTATGGATGTCTCCAGGACTATGCTTGCAGTGTTTGTTTTCTGCCGTACTTGTTACGGCTCAAGTTTTGGGGTCGATGCATCACTTCCTCGCCCGCGCGGGGGCTGAGATCGCCCGCGGGGCATCCGCTGCGCCCATCGTGCGGGGCGGTTCCCAGCAGCGCCCTGCTTGCGAGCCAGTGGTGACCTGCAGTGTCTGGCCGACGCTGGATTGCCCCAGCTGCCCAGAGCGCCAGTGCGCCCCCCACCTCCAGCGCCCCAGCCTGGAGCTCTCGCCGAGCAGCTCCTTCCGCCAGGGGGGCATCTCCATCTTATTTTCGCCGGGCTGTCTCGCGGTGGCCACCAGTGCAGGCCACCTCACCAGGCGGCGCGGGGTTGGCCTTCAGTTGGAGCCGCCCTCGCCGAAGACTTCGGCGTCGGCGGGCGCGGCGCCCGCGGCGGCCCCACCGCTGCCCACCGCCAAGGCGGGGCGCCCCCCGCCGCCCCCTGCGATTGAGGGCGCAGCCGAGGAGGCGAGGAGGCAGGCGCGGCAGCCTGCTGCCGCTGCCCAGGCTCGCTGCCAGACGCGATGGCGGCCCGCCCCGCTGCCCAGACGCATGGTTTGGCCGCTGGCAATTTTGCGCACGTTCGCTACAACTATTCTCAGCGGCCCCGGCACGAGCGCCCGGCCACCTTGCTCGTGGACAATGCCGGGGACCTCGCGGCGAGAGCCACCCTTGACGGGGATGAGTACGACGAGAACTTCAGGCGCGCCCGCGGCCGCGCCCGGCCCGCCACGGCCACCGCCGCTCTGGCCGCGGCACGCGCGAGGCACTGCGTCGCCGCGCCGCCCGGTGAGCTCGCGTCCAACTTCGGCGGAAGGGCGGGCTTGGGGCCAGCGGTTGCCGCCGCAGCGGCTGGAGAGGCAGACCCAGCCGCCCCCGCCGGCGGCAGTGGAGCAGGCGGTGGAGCAGGCGCTGGGGCCCTCGCCCCCGCGGCTGGGCCTGGCGGGCTTGTGGCCGCCCTCGGCGGGGCAGCGCAGCCGGCGCCCGCGGGGGCCCTGGCGCTGCCCGCCGCCCTGGCCGCGGCGGAGCCCGCGGCCGTCGGCGGCGCGGGCGCCGCAGGCGCGGCCGCCCCGGCAGCCGGCGCAGGCGCCCCCGCCCCGGCTGGCGCCGCGGCACCTGCAGCCGTTCCGGCCATCGCTGCGGCCAGCGGGGCGCCGGGCGCCGTCGCGCCGATCGCGGGCGCAGGCGGACTCGGAGGCTACTTCGCCCTGAGGGTGGCGCTGATCCAGTTCGACCTGCCGGGCGAGCGCCGGGCGGCCTTCGAGAGGGCCGCGCTCGGCTTCCGGAAAGATGCCTTCCCGGATTGGCGCATCAAGGGCCCCCGTTCCTGCCCGCGGGCGCGCCGCTACATCGCGCAGAACGGCGGGTCGCCGACAGGGCGACGCGCGCGTTGGAGGCACGGCGCCAAGCTCCAGCCGCAGGACGCAGGAGTGTCAGAACACGAAAGCCGCTGCCGCCAGCTCGAGACCATGGCCTGCTATGACCAGATGAACTTGCCCCACTGTGCGACGGCGGAGCACCTGGCGCGCTCGCCCCAGGCCCAGGAGGAGCGCTGGGGGGAGCGGCCCAGCGGCCACAAGGAGGGATCGGTCGGCGACGCCCACCTGCACGACGGAGTGGACATCGGGCGCGCCGAGGCGCGCGCCTGCCCTGAGCTGACCGAGCGGGCAGCCAAGGAGCTCCCCCGCGAGCACGCCCCGCTGCAGGAACGACGCAAAGCCAGAGAAGAACGCGAAGCGGCCCGCAAGGGCAAGAAGATCAATGACGCGCGACCCTGAGCGCGGCCAATGCATCGGAGGGAGTGCCCTGCACTGCTCACCGAGCCGCAGAGCGCCGGATACACCCCATCCCCCCCCCTTTTTCGTCCTCGGCGACGGCGCCGCTAGCCACGCCTGCCACGCAGTTAAGCAGAGAGAGAGTGAGAGTGAGAGAGAGAGAGAGAGAGAGAGAGAGAGAGAGAGAGAGAGAGAGAGAGAGAGAGAGAGACGAGAGAGGAGAGAGAGAGAGAGAGAGAGAGAGAGAGAGAGAGAGAGAGAGAGAGAGAGAGAGAGCACCGCCGCGCGCATGTTGGGTTGGGCAAACTCCGCCATCGGTAGCCTGAGCCAGCTGCACAGGTCCCCGCAAGCCTCTTGCCCCAGTCTTCCCGGCATCCCTTCCCCCCCCCCCCCCCCCCCCCAATGCTTCTCAGCGCGTGGCGCGCCAGCATGTCCTGGGCAGCTTTATTTAGACAGGCGGGTGCCCAGCCGGCCGATTTAACAAGCAAGGAAGCCCTCCGCGAGCTTCTTACCGGGTCAGCGATCTATCCCGATAGCTCCACCCGACGACCCCACGCACGCCACCTCGCGGCATGGCCCGAGGTCGGATCCAGCCCCGCGCCTGCGGAGTCGCGATTGCCCCAGGTCGATCGTGGTTGGCTAAGGTCATGGCGTGATAATTT